AGGTATGAACCTTGTCACATAAGATGGGGATGATAATTAGGTACATATATTTGAAGTATGAGGTTGATCCCTTAAGAAATAAAGAAGTAACAGTAAAAAATAGTCTTTTTTAAGGAAAATTCTAAGTTCAAGGGGAGATAAATCTGAAAATATTGGTGCTAGAGTTATGAAACTTGTCGCATAAGATGGGGATGATGATAAGGTACATATATTTGAAGTATGAGGTTGATCCCTTAAGAAATAAAGAAGTAACAGTAAAAAATAGTCTTTTTTAAGGAAAATTCTAAGTTCAAGGGGAGATAAATCTGAAAATATTGGTGCTAGAGTTATGAACCTTGTCACATAAAATGTGGTTGATGATAAGGAACATATATTTGAAGTTTGAAGTTGATACCTTAAGAAATGACAAAGTTATAGTGAAAAATATTTTACTGCACCAAAACTTTAATCTGAAATCTGGACGCGGACGCCGACGCCGGGGCGAGTAGGACAGCTCTCCATATACTTCGTATAGTTGAGCTAAAAATGAATTATTTCAAAGGAGATTATTTCAGATTTTGATTTTGACATAAATCATCTACGGGACACTTCAGGGACAGCCCCTTGATTTCCGGGACAATCCCAGAATTCCAGGACATTATGGCATATATGACTAGTCTGATACATTGACCACTCTGTCATGATTGTTATAAAATCAGTTTGAGAACAATGTATAAAATATGTTACTTTAGAGGCTCCATAAAGAGATTACAAGATCATTCAAGATCATTCATCCCATAACAAGAAGTAACAAATATGGAGGACAATTATCACACACATACCAAACTACCTTTATCTGAGGTACAGAAAAACTTGAGTTTTCTTGAACATTTGGAAGAGTGAAAACTCACAGTAACTTATCAATCATAAAGGGTCAGAATCAAACAAAACTTCTAGAGCACTTTTTGAATTTTTATTTACAATACAAATTAATAAAAGATGTAAAGAATACCGTTATAAAATGCTTTATAAATATCAATTATAGAGTAAATTTCAAATTGAAAGAAGCAAGAGATTTCAATAGTTACTGAAATTTAAAAATAATTTACATTTTTCCCATGCTGTTCACTATCAGTTTCTCTACTTGTTATAGGGTTTGTAAGCGAACGGCATGGATCCTGATCAGACTGCGCGGATGTGCAGGCTGGTCTAGATCCATGCTGGTCGCAAACACACTATGTTGGTTTTGTCATATATTATAATTATACAATGAATATTGTCAGAAAGTATCAATGTTATTAAACAGACCTCATGCTATTGTTTCATCTCAATGTCAGGTATATTTTTTTTAAGGTCAAAAAGTCTAAAAACATAAAATTTGAAATTCTTGCATAGATCAAGTATTTAATTCTTTTCGAAAATAATATATGCTATTTATAATAATTACATCTATATATACACATGCATATATTTCATTGTATAAAACAGAAATAGACATTTTATATATTTTAATATTAAGAGGATATTTTTTCGTTTGAGTGAAATATGGAATATATTTTCACGAAACATGATAAAATGCCACATAACTTATAACATTTTTTTTTTACACGCCAAATGTAGCGTCAATAAAATTTAATGTAGACGTCTGTTTGATACAATTGCGTCATTTCTTTTGTTATGTAACAACTGATGAAGGTAATAAAGCGCAACATGTATTAATATTTTAAATTGTGTTGCTTTTTTATCTACTTACATGTCCTATAGACCAAGTGAAGCACTTAAAAATAAAAAATCTGCAAATGATAAATAATAAAAACTTAAATTGAAACTTAATCTATTGTGTGATATTTATAAATGTGTTCCAATGCTTATCTTTTTTTAATCATTTTGCACAATAAAATGATGAATCTGGAAAAATTGCGTAGGAAATGATCTGAAATTTTATGCACAAGTCACATAGTTCACAATTAAATCTAAATATTTCTACTTCCATCATGATCCATAGTTGAGTCCCTTTAATACTGTAGACGTTGTACTTAATGGTGCCTCCTAAGATTGCTTTTCTGATTGAACTGTTGAGTCCCTTTAATATTGTAAATGTTGTATTTGGTGCCTCCTCAGATTGCTTTTCTGATTAAACTGTTTCCCGCAGATATTACACTGGAATGGTCTTTCTCCAGTATGTATTCTCATGTGTGTTTCCAACTTCCATTTTGTAGCAAAACGTTTTCCACACACAGAACATGTATGTACAGTTAAATTCTTTATTTGTGCTTCAGCTGAAGATACAAGAAAAGTTTATTTTATTAAATGATAAAATGAATTCAAAAGAATTAGGTAGAATTATGTTCTTATAGGGTTGGCGCTCCGAAAATTTTCAGAAACATACAATACAAAAGCCACCGGTGGACTGGGGACAACACTCAACTTTTTTTTACTTTTTCTAGAAGCAAACAAATAAATGTTTTCAACAAATCTTTAAAAGAGGAAAAAAGTCAAGCTGAAATGATTATTGAACATAAAAACTATTCCAAAACATACGAGCTGTGCCGTGACAAAACCAACATAATGGGTTTGCAACCAGCATGGATCCAGACCAACCTGCGCATCCGCACAGTCTGATCACGATCCATGCTGTTCGCTATCAGTTTCTCTACTTGCTATATAGTTTGCGGATGCGCAGACTGGTCTGGATCCATGCTGGTCGCAAACCCATTATGTTGATTTTGTCATGACGCGGCTCATATCTCTAAAAACAGTTTCAAACAATTTCAATCCAGAAGATTTACAATTTACAAAGTCATGAAAATCGCTGCTTTGATCTACAACTAAACCTTAAAATACATAACCCACCTGGCTTGTCTGTCCACCTGACCAGAATTTCCTGGATAACCCATCTTATGTGGTAATGTCTGGATTCCGCCTGACATTTTTAGAATATAACAAAAACAATACTTTCTTTTTATTTCAACATAGTTTTATTTCAGTATTTGCTGATTACACAAAACTATTTGCATTAATATTACAATTAAAATATAAATCAAAGATACAGTCTACTTTGTAAAGATATAACCCTGTCACATGTAAAATTTTACATTTTTTTTATAATCATACTACAAGTATAGTTTTTTGGGTTTTTTTTTTGGTTGGGTTTTACTTCCCACCAACATAGTACAGGTCACAAGGCGACTTTCCAGCTTTACTGGCACAGGAAGGCATGAATAGGTACTTGAGTTAAGAACCACCGATTTTCCGTAAGCTTGCTGGATAGCTTCCTCACATGAAAGAATCCCAAGTCCCTGTTGGGATTCGAATCCAGTGATGAGGGTCAATAAGTTGAAGTCAACAACCTTAACCACTCGGCCTCGAACAAGTACATGAAGTATAATATAAAAAAATCATTTAAACATGCACTGAAAACCATCATGCTGGCAAATTCCTGTTTACTGAAAACAATTATAAACACAGTTACATAAAAATTAACAAAGTACATTGTACAGGAATACATCAATCAAATCAAGGAACCAGTATAACAATGTCTATTTACAGAATTTCTGGCATAAATTTGCATCATTTTTACGTTATAAGTCCAAAAATTTAATGCTCTGTCATCATCCTTATTATATATACAATTTAAAACATAATAAAAGTTTAATCATCTCAAACTTTTCATCTTGCACAAATGATCTTGCACATTTTCAAAAGCTTCATCAGTAATAACCCTTGTTATTTACACTTCCTGTCAGATTTACTACATCAGTAATAACCCTTGTTATTTACACTACCTGTCAGATTTACTACATCTGTAATAACCCTTGTTATTTACACTAGCTGTAAGGTTTACTACATTCGTATAACCCTTGTTAATTGAACTACCTGTCAGATTTACTACATCAGTAATAACCCTTGTTATTTACACTAGCTGTCAGATTTACTACATCAGTAATAACCCTTGTTATTAACACTACCTGTCAGATTTACTACATCTGTAATAACTCTTGTTATTTACACTAGCTGTCAGATTTACTACATCAGTAATAACTATAGTTAATAACACTAGCTGTCAGATTAACATCATCAGTAATAACTCTTGTTATTTACACTACCTGTCAGATTTACTACATCAGTAATAACCCTTGTTATTTACACTAGCTGTAAGGTTTACTACATTCGTATAACCCTTGTTAATTGAACTACCTGTCAGATTTACTACATCAGTAATAACCCTTGTTATTTACACTAGCTGTCAGATTTACTACATCAGTAATAACCCTTGTTATTAACACTACCTGTCAGATTTACTACATCTGTAATAACTCTTGTTATTTACACTAGCTGTCAGATTTACTACATCAGTAATAACTATAGTTAATAACACTAGCTGTCAGATTAACATCATCAGTAATAACTCTTGTTATTTACACTTCCTGTCAGATTTACTACATCTGTAATAACCCTTGTTATTTACACTAGCTGTAAGGTTTACTACATTCGTATAACCCTTGTTAATTGAACTACCTGTCAGATTTACTACATCAGTAATAACCCTTGTTATTTACACTAGCTGTCAGATTTACTACATCAGTAATAACCCTTGTTATTAAAACTACCTGTCAGATTTACTACATCTGTAATAACTCTTGTTATTTACACTAGCTGTCAGATTTACTACATCAGTAATAACTATAGTTAATAACACTAGCTGTCAGATTAACATCATCAGTAATAACTCTTGTTATTTACACTACCTGTCAGATTTACTACATCAGTAATAACCCTTGTTATTTACACTAGCTGTAAGGTTTACTACATTCGTATAACCCTTGTTAATTGAACTACCTGTCAGATTTACTACATCAGTAATAACCCTTGTTATTTACACTAGCTGTCAGATTTATTACATCTGTAAATAACCCTTGTTAAATACTCTAGCTCTAAGATTTACTACATCTGTAATAACCCTGGTTATTAACACCAGCTTTCAATATTTACTACATCTGTAAATAACCTCTTTAATTGTTCTAGCTGTCAGATTTCATATGAGTCAAGGTATGTGACTTCAGGTTTCCTTTAGTTGTTGTACTGAACCCGCATACATCACACTTGAACGGTTTCTCTCCAGTATGAATTCTCACATGTACTTTTAGAGAGTATCCGTTACCGAAAGGCTTTTGACAATATTGGCAGACATATTTCAAATGAATGGGCAGCATAGAATCTCTTTGTTTACCAGCAGTTTCAGTAGGTCTTTTCCATAGATCTAAAAATAAAATAAATATATATAAATTACCTTATAATATGTAATCATTTCTTCTTAATAATATGGATAGTGATATAACAAGTGGTAGATGAATTCATCATTAAATATGTTAACAAAGTGAACAAGTGCACACTGTAAGACTGTTTATCATATACCCGTGCCGCTTTCATGACTCACTAAACATAGTATTGCACAGTGGTGCATATATTTTGATGTAACATCATTTGCATTATACAAACACAGCTTAAAAACAACCTAAATGTTAGGGTCACAAAGAAAAGAAAAAGTTCTCCATTTTTACTGTACACAATTTTGTTTTGGATATGTAATAGATAAAATATCATATTCCTGTAGCTGCATTACTAAATTTATTGAACTCATCGACTAAAATGATATTATGCTTGCCAGAGGCTCACATAAAATAGTTTTATTCAACTTATTCAATACAGGGGAAAATGAATGGCACAGTTATATAACTTTGTATTGATTAGTAAGAAGCCGTTGGAACATGTTATTATAATAAACTTAAGAATTATCAAACTTGCCATTTAAGGTGAACCTTGTATGGACAGACAGACAGACAGACAGACGGTTCAATTACTATATGCCATAGGGCATAAAAACAACAACATTTTATTTATAAAAACTTAAGCATCAGCAATGACAGATCAAATTGCTAGCCATATAATTTCAACTAAAAATGTGTTGTAATGCCACCAATGCCCCTGCATGCAGCCAAAATTTCAAATGTTATAATAATATAAAGTTCAAAATTTGTTTGCACAAACCATTTTTTCATTCTAAGTTCAATGCCCTTAAACTATTTACTGTTATCACAAACCATTCTTATACAAAGTTCAAGACCCTGAAACTATTCAGTGTTAACATTTTATTAGTTGCATATTTGTAGCTGAGATAATAATTAGAAATTGTGAATTTTTAAATCTTTTCCAAGTTCAAGGGGGATAACTGTCAAAAGACATCTGACCGAAACCAAATTAGAATTTGACTTGTATTTTCTGGAAAAATATGCAATGTTTACCTCGGACATACATCCTACAAAAGTTGGGGCAGAAACTGAAAATTTCTCATTTTTTCTTAGTTCAAGAAGGATAACTCTGTCAAAAATCATTGGACCAAAACCAAATTCGAACTTGTCTTGTATTTTCTGGTTAAATACTGCACATGCAATTTCAATCTTATTCATACATTTCTACAAAAGTAAGGGTGCCGAAACTCAAAATTTCAAATCTTTCCCAACATTAAAGAGGGATAACTTTGTCCGAAATCATCGAACCATGACCAAGTCGATGGCTTAACGCAATAAGGGCGTAACTACATTTTTGAAAATTTTACAGTAGAGCAAAAAAACTAACTCATTTTCTTGTTTCTTTATATTCCCATCACATTACTTTGTTTTGTAATATTAAAATATACATTTTAAATATAACTTATAAAAACATCAATATAAATCATGTAAAAAACACTTTATTTGCAATTTTATTACTTATGTCCTTGTTGCATAACTTTTACATATAATTTGAGAGATAATATTATATGCAATAAGGGTGTAAGTATACTTATGCCCATATTGCAGTAAGATTTACATTAAACATGGCTATTTTTTGTTATGCAATATGGTACCATGTCTACATATAATTCAATTTAGTCAGGATATTTAACTTTCTCAATGATTTTCCAAGAAATACTTAAAAGTCTACACCAAAGTATTTTCAATTTTACAATGTGTCATCTAATTTTATACCTCTGGACTTAATATTGACCTTAATTATATGGAACATGCCTCACTTATCTTTATTCAATATATTGAAATATATGATAAAATCTTCATTGATTTAAGTTCTAATTTATTCTTATTGGAATTAGTTGTACATACCATTAAATTAATTAAGTTCTTAATATATTCAAGTATTTGACAAAAATATTTTTAACTATTGAAATTGTTCAAGATGCAGACACTAGTTTTGTCTAAACATTAGGACCTTTTGTTATTACATTGGACCAGTAATACATAGCTATAATGTGTGTCATTTAAGACTTGTATGAAAATGAAAAATGAGGTCTTTGTGACTGTTACCATTCTGTTTCCTTCATTTATTTCTTTCATTTTTAAAAGATGATAGCGCCTTTCTTTGCCATCATCTCTAGCTGAATAGGCACAATAACTACAATATTTATGCATTCACATAACAGTAGGGTTTGATTTTCAAAAATATGTGTGACATATTCAAATATGTGCTTATTTAAAATATTCGTTTACACATGTAATTGTTTCAAATGCTTACAAATCCTTTTAAGAAAATAAAATGTATGCAGCAAGTAATTCCCCTTATTAATATATAATATAGAACCTTATTAATATGTAAGCATAAGGGATTGGGCTCGAAAAAAATAGCTTTATTGTATAACTATTTAGATCACATGATTTGTTTGTGAAAAAAATATTAATGAGCAATTTTTCAAAATTTAAAACTTGCCATCCATTAATACATTTGTACCTTTAAGTACTTTGATTCCTTATGCACTGTCTTGTCATTATGTTTTCTGCCCTACCCGCATGGAAAATAATGGGGACTTTGATTTGTGGACTACCAAAGATCTAATACAATATCCAATGGTGTGATCCACAATAATTCTTCTACATAATGTAAGTGGCTATATCCCAATGTTTCTTGCTAAGATAAAATAACTGCATTGACTCTGTAGTATAGGGACAACTCACAGGTTAAGACAATTGTCTCAATTCCCATGCTTTCACCCACAGCACTTTTGACAATGGACCTCCTCAACACTTTTGACAGTGGACCTCCACAACACTTTTGACAGTGGACCTCCACAACACTTTTGACAGTGGACCTCCTCAACACTTTTGACAGTGGACCTCCTCAACACTTTTGACAGTGGACCTCCACAACACTTTTGACAGTGGACCTCCACAACACTTTTGACAGTGGACCTCCTCAACACTTTTGACAGTGGACCTCCACAACACTTTTGACAGTGGACCTCCTCAACACTTTTGACAGTGGACCTCCACAACACTTTTGACAGTGGACCTCCACAACACTTTTGACAGTGGACCTCCTCAACACTTTTGACAGTGGACCTCCACAACACTTTTGACAGTGGACCTCCACAACACTTTTGACAGTGGACCTCCTCAACACTTTTGACAGTGGACCTCCACAACACTTTTGACAGTGGACCTCCACAACACTTTTGACAGTGGACCTCCACAACACTTTTGACAGAGGACCTCCACAACACTTTTGACAGTGGACCTCCACAACACTTTTGACAGTGGACCTCCTCAACACTTTTGACAGTGGACCTCCTCAACACTTTTGACAGTGGACCTCCACAACACTTTTGACAGTGGACCTCCACAACACTTTTGACAGTGGACCTCCACAACACCTTTGACAGTGGACGTTCAAGTGTGATATAGAAGACTCACACAATTTGCCTTATTAGTTTACTTTTCAAAAGAAGTTAGCAAGACATAAGGTCATTTCAATTCATGAGCACTGTACAGGACAATTTTGAAATTAAGTGCATTATCTCCCAAATAATAAAGTTGCTTGAAGGATAAATAATTCAAATCAGATTTTTAGTAAACCATGAAAATAATGTCTAAAAAGTCTCTCTGGAATGTGATGTAGATAATATCAAACAATTTTTAAATGAGAAGTGCAATCTGATAGTAAACTTCTGCGAGATCACCCCTTTTCTAGATTGTTTTCTTATTCCTATAGTACCCATTATTAGATTATTAGGTTTCAAATACCAAATTGTAAAAATTGGTTTGAAGTCCCTCATGCACATTTGAAATTTACTAATGATAACAAGGGATTTTTCTATACTAATAGCACCGATTACATGTATTTAATTTAAATACTGAAGTTTTAAAGATAATTAACATTAACTTTTAGGGGCAATGAGTTTGCAGAATATTTTTTTGTAAAATCTTTCCAACAATTTTTTTTAAAAAGAATTAAAGCATAGTAATGCAGTGTAATATACTGTGAGTTGAATAACTCACACCTGAACATGATTTGAAAGTTGCGTGCCTCAATTAATATACTTGAGTTATTAGCTAAATACATTTTGGTCTTATTTAAAGGCCCATTATCTGCCAGAAATGCTTTTGTTTTTATTTCTCAAAACATTTTTATTTTGGTGTTACAGTTTCCAAAAAGTTTTTCATTTGAGATACAGCTGAGCCGTTTGTTTCTTTTCTTTTAAGCATTTAGTACAGTACAGTGATTTTGTATAGCACTTAAAATACTGCTTAGTTTACATTTTGCTACATTTATGACAAATAATTTCACATTCAACGCTACTTTTTTCATGTGATAAGTATCTTACAAACTTAAATACCATTATTTACACATTATTAAAGCTCATGTTTGCTCTTTCTAAAGAAGGCAAAAATTCTTCCTTTATGGGGCATAATGTGCCTTTAAAGGGACTCAACTGAGATTTTTTGCCCTGACCAGACTAGATGTAATTATTCAA